AGGGTTACATTTAAGTCCCTTGTACTTTTGTTTCGTTTGTATTTAGAGGATCTGTCCATCTCCATCTTCCATCCCTTTTCGAGGAGTTTTAATTTGTCCTTTGAGGCTAGGTATGTTTCCTGCAGGCAGCAAATGGATAGCTTGTGTTTTTTTATCCCACCAGTCAGTCTATGCCTCTTCAGTGGAGATTAACATTTATTGAGATAATTGATAAGTGTGGTAGTGTTCTAGTCATCTTATTTTGTGAAAGTTCATTGCTTAGTGTTATCTTTTGCATCATTGTGAAAGCTAGGTTTTGTCCATTACTTTCTGGATGTTTAGTTTGCTGGTTGTCCATTGTGATGGTCAGTATGTAGAAGAGGTGTTAATATTTCCTGTAGAGCTGGTCTTGTGGCAAACTTTCTCAGTGTTTGTGTAGCAGTAAAAGATTTGATTTCTCCATCAATTTTAAAGCTTAGCATAGCAGGATATAGAATTGTTTAAGTAGATTAAAGGTAGATGATCATTGTCTTGAAATGTTTCCTTTGAGAAGTCTGCATTTACTGTCCCCTGTAGGTCAATTGGCACTTACTTCTGGCAGTGTGCAGAATCTTCTCTTTTGTCTTGACTTTGGACAGGTTCATCACAATGTGTCTTGGAGTAGCTCTATTTGAGTTGATACAACCTGGTTTAATATTCCTCTGAAAGGAATGTGTCAGAATCTTTGGTGATATTTGGGAAATTTTAATTTATGATATCCTCTAGAAGGACTTCCATACCTCTGGGGCATTTTTCTTCTTCTTCTGGGATACCTACAACATTTGAATGCTTCATGAAGTTCCATAATTCTGCCAGTGACCTTTCTGCTTTCTCGCTCTCTTTTTTTCTGACTCTTCAACCATCTGAGTTAGCTCAAGAGCTTTGTCTTCTACCTTTGAGATTCTTTTTTCTACACAGTCCAATCTGTTATTGATACTTTCTAATGCATCTTTAAGTTCCCTGATTGACTGCTTGAGTTCCTTAAGCTCTGCTATATATATCCTTTCTATATTCTTCATATCATTCATCTTATTTGATTCTGCTTTTGGATTTCCTTTTGGTTCTTTTCCACTTTCTCATCAATTTCCTTCATTGTTTTTATCATCCATATTTTAAATTCCCTTCTGTCATTTCAAACATTTCTTTATAGGTGGAATCCTGTGCAGTAGCTACCTCATGGTCCTTTAAGGGAGGGAGGGTTACTCTGGTCTGGTTTTTCATGTTGCCAGGATTTTTCTGCTGTTTTTTTCCTCATGAATGTTTCAATTTTGTCTGTTTTCTTGCCCCACTTTTTCCTTTCACTTCCTCCTGATCTTTAAGCTACCATGTCTCTGATATAAGGTGCTGAGGTATCCTTTTGGTAAAGGACTAAAAGGAAGAGTGAAAAGCAAGAATGGATAAAAGACAAAAAAAAAAAAGAAAAGAGAAAGGAAAGAGGATGAGTAAAAGGGGAGATTGATGAAAAGAAGAGAGGAATAGAAGGAGAGAGAAGAGTAATCATGGTGTACAGTAGGGTACTTTGACCTATACCCACGAATCTCAACCTCTGAAGGGGGTGGTTTCAGTGGTTCCTTGACATCCACAGCTCCTTGCCAGCCTGAGAATACACAAGAGCCCACCTCCACCAAATAGAGAAGAAAAAAAAATACTATACATTAAACCAAAATAAACAAAGAAAAAATCTTAGGGTATAAAATTGGGGGGAAAATGAATAACAGGGGCAGAAAAACTAGCAAAAATGAAGTCCTTATTTTCAAAGAAGGCAATAGTGAAAAATTATATTTACATGGGAAAAACAAAGAAAAAAGAAAAAGAAAAATCTAGGGGGGAAGACATTGAAAACAATTTTTTAAAAAGAAAAAACTATCTATATGTGTGTCTATATATATATATCTTGTTGAATATTGCCTGGGCAACCAGTGATCTTCTGGGGTATGAGATGCTAATCGTGACACTGATATAGCTGTGTAAGATGGAGACTGGAAACCTCTGCTGACTACTTTGCCCTCAAACCTCACAGGGTTGGGAGCTGGAATCTCTCCTCAGCCCACTTAATAGACATCCCTTATCCTTTCCAAACTGTGTCCCTTCGCTATGCAATGGGTTTCCCAGGAAAGCGTGTATCACTCAGATCTCTCCAGACATGGCTGTCCCACTTATCAGATGCACCAGCACCGGCCTTGCTTTGGGACACTGAGAGCTGAGCCTGCAAGGCAGCTCTCCCCCAATGGCTGGCCCTGACCTACAGCTGAACAATGAAAGCTCTGTTCCACCCAGTGGCTCAGTCCCAGCCTCTGGGTTGGGTTGAAAGTCACTTGCTCACTTGCCCAAGCTCTCCCAAGGCAACCCAAACAAGTGCCCTAAAAAAACAACAAAAAACCCCCCCAAAACAAAACCCACAGGGAAAGCCTTCGCTGTCTGCAACTCTTGCTTCCATTGCCACTGAACCCACCACTGCTAGCTGGCTTCTGCCCTGATGCAAATACTTGCAGCTTTTCCACTGCTTTCATCCTCCTCCTGGGATCCTGAAGTCTCCCCCTGCATCCCTGTGCCCCCAAAGGGATGTTTCTGGCACAGCCCACAAGCCAGAGGTGCCTGGAGTCTTCCCTCCCCAATTCTACCATTCCTGGCTGCAAAGATGCCATCTTGTTCTGCCCCTTCCTATGTCATATTCCTTAAAAGTTCTTTTCATTGATAGATAGAGCTACTCTTAAGTAACAAACTCATCAATCATGAATTTCTTAGACTTTTGTAAAGTTTGATTTTGTGGTCAGAATGTAGTTCATGAGACTAAGGCTACATCATTCTGACAATATAATAATAAATTATCCGCATTATATTCTTTATAAATGTTTATAAATGTTCATGACAGGCCTTTCACTGTGAAATTATCCTCCACCACAAAAATTGAATTTCAAGGTCTTCCCTCCAATTTTACATAATAATATCACCGCTCTAGCTTTCTTTTTTGTTCACGTTTGCCAACCTTTTATATTTCACCTTTGGTGTCACTTTGTTTTAAGTGCATCTCCTGAAAACATCATGACACTGAATTTTTATAAAATTATTCTATTTTATTTCAACAGAAAAATATAACCATTTCACTTTTTCCCAATGTAATTAATATGCTTTGTTTTGCTTCTCCCATCTTTCTTTCTGCTTTGTATACTTTTTTTCCTGTCTTTTTTGAACAAACTGTTATGGTTATTATTTTCTTCAGTGATTGAAAATGTTAGGCATTCTTGTGAAAAAATTTTCAAGGCTTTCTGAAAGCATAGTAAATTGTCACATGGCTTCATAGTCTACCCTTTCCTCTAGTTCTGCGTCCCTTAGATGGGGTTTACTATCTTCTGCTACAAAGTCCACTTCTGAGATAAGACAGCACGAATTTAGGGATAACATTTCCCCTAAATATTGTCCCTTTTTGACAGTGTCTTCCATTTACTCAATAATGTCTATACTATATTTTTTAGAAATTCCCCAAAGTTTCCACCACAAGTATCCAACTCCTCTCTAATTTTCAGTACTGCTTCAGATTTCTTTCCCTTCTCTCCCCTTTCATAGCTCTTGTAGCATTTTAGTAGGAACTTAGGAGAGGGGAGGTAGCAGCTTGTGTAGAAGCCTCTATCTTGACAGAAATTTGATGTATGTACCACATTTTAAGAGATATTGTGATAAACCAGAGGAGCTTGACTTGAGATGGGAAATAAGTTGAATGATGTACAGTTTAATAAATGGAAGTGTTTATATCTGGAGAAGAAAAAACACAAATGCGATGTGATGATGACCTTCAGGTATCCCAAAGGAATACCATGCAGCTCAAGAAATAGAATGATACAGTGGTACCTCACAGGGTAATGCTAGGAAAGGATGGGCAGATTAAACCCATCTAAACTGTGGGGAAGAGTCTTCCTTAAATGTGGGGTTGAGCAAATTAATTTCCAAGTTTCTTTACAACTTTATTCTTCTGTTAATGTAAATAAGGTTGACATTTTTTGAAATGTGGACTAAAAAGACTTTTTGACCCCAAATTCAGTGTATATAAAAATTGAATGGAGACTTGTTAAAATTCTTATATCTGAGCTCAGAAATTTTGATTTATATACGTTTGGGTAACATAGTCTTTATTCATAGTCAAGAGTAAATGCAATTACTTTAGCGAAATGTTTATAACATTTGCTGCTATAATTTGGGGTTTCACAAGGGAATGGAAAATAATAACTAAGTGAATAGAGAAAACAATTGAAGGCAACAATTCTACATAAAAGTGTGTCAATTAGGGTGCGGAGGAAGATGACACCAAGGGAGTTAGGAAGCGAAAGACCAAGGGGAGGGGAGCAAGGAGAGTCTTCAGACAGAGATGAGGTTGACACCTGAGGAAGCTGAGAGAGGAAAGGAAAGGGGATAGGGGATGGAGAGTCTCAAAAGGATGCAGCTCTAAGGAAGTCTAAAACCAGTCCAGCGGTAGCTCTGAGGCGGATGACCACTGAAGAGTCCACTGTTGGGCAGACATGGCCAGGCTCTGATTCCCTTGTGGTTCTCAGTCACTGTGAGCTTTGTGGGCAGAGTGCGGCCTCTGCTCCAACACTGCAGTGGTGCTCCAAGTGCTGTAGCTGGAACTGTCAACTCCATCTACTCTTCATGACAGGTACTCTCCTGAAAGGGGATCTGAGCAGTGCACATTCATGGCCACCACAAGAGCCAAGTCTTATTTTTTTTAGTGCTGGGGCCTGCTCATGCTTACTTGAAGGGATAATTTGGCACTATCTCTACTGATCTTCTCTGGCCTCTGTTTAAGCCTTTAAGCATCCATTTCACCTTTCTCCCCCACACATCAGTTGTACAATATGCATGATTCGATATGTAACTGTGTTTAAACTGATGAAAACATAAAATGCCCTTGTCAGGATGTGGTGGTGAAAAATGCTCTGTAAAGATGTGGGATTTTAAAAACTAAAGAATCTTTCTCATTATTACTCTAGTCTGGCGGCAAGAAGAACTTATACGCATTAACGAGACTTTCACTGGAGCTGAAAGGAAAGCTGCTTTGTGCGAAATTCTGGAAAAAGAGACTCAGATAATTGCTTGCATTGGGAGACATAGATACACTGCTCGTGTAGAGAGTCAGGATGCAGAAGTACAAGCTTTTTTGAATAAGGTTAGTGTGGTAACTTTTATTTAAATATGAATGTATCCTGAGTTTAAAAATGTGGAATACTGACCTAATGGAGAGATTTACATTGTAAGAATTTACATGAATTTTGTTTAGCATTTTGATGGCATACTTCTTTAAATTATATATATATAAAATTTATTATATACTTCTTTACATTATATATATATATATATATATTCTGGTGTAGCTTAGATTTTAACTACAGTATAGAAAGAAGGTTGACAAGCAAAATGAAATTAATGTATTCTTAACTAACGGGATTTAGCCATGAAGGAAAAGATGGAGACACCATTCTTGTGACTGTTCGTTTAGATTTAGGCTGGCCATGTACCTTAGAGGAGTCACACACCGTGATAAAATGCAGAGTATTAAAGTCACCAAATGTCTGGGTCTGAAGTGCCCCAGTCGTCAGCAACATGGGCACAATGGCTATAGACTAGTGTTTCTGCTTTTGTTTAACGCATCATTAACTGACTGCAAATTTCTGACCAAGAGAATATACAACTATTGAAAACCATGAAAATACACAATTAAGGGAAAAACTAAAGTAATTACCCTTTTTGTGGTCAAACTGCCTGTTCGATTTTGAATAGCCTGTTTCCATAGTGACCAATTTCCTTTTATAAACCAGATCTTTCCAAACAATTTAAAGCCATTCCAGCTACAGAAGAAAAGGGATGCATTTCTTCAAGATATCAAGTTGTGGTGATTCTATGATCCTTATTATTTGAGGACATTGGTTCTTGAAAACCATATATATTTTTATGATATTTCAAATGTCCTCTCATTTTATTTGTATACTCTCCTACATGATCTCAGTTTATTTATGGCTTTAACTACTACTTGTATCCTTGAACACCCTACAGTTCCAAGCCAGATTTCTCAAAGGAACTTCCAAGTGATATATCCAATTGCTGTTGTCCTTGCTCTTTGAATATCACAAGAGTACACATCAAGTTGGCCTGGCAACCCCGACGTCACATCATCTCACCATCCCTCACCCTCTCCACCTCCAGCCCACTCTTGCTCTCAGCCCACTCTGTACTCATAGCACAGGCATGACCTATCTCTATGAATATTTCATCATCTTCTCAGTTGATCCAGCAGAAACCTCAGTGGTAGTTATTCTCGACTTCCTCATTTACTCACCAACCAGTTTGTTCTATCACTTTAATATCTCCTTAATTCCTTAACTCTTTCTTTTTAACCTGATTACCATTACCCGTAGGGAAATGGGTCTGCTATGAGTGCCCTGATGACCTGGCATGTATCCAATAGGCCATGTAGGCAAAGACTTGAACTGCAGCTAATGCGCGTCTTGTCAGAATGCTTTGTGATCCTCCTGGAATATGAAAGGATGAGAGGTTTATGAGCAGCTGCTGTGGGTAGCTCTCCCTCATGCCTCCCTATCTGCCCTGGGGTGATGTCACCTGACAGGCCAGCCTTGCCTTCTCTTATGTACATGAGCTTGACTGTGATTTAATTAAATCTGGATTTCCTTCTCATATGGATCTCATGTTACCAAACTGTGCTGTTGCCTCTGGTCTCCTTTCTCAATTCCTTCCTCCATCATCTATACTGACGCTGTCATGTCCTCACTAAATCCAGCTTTGACCCTGCCCCTCCCTCCCTACTGCTCTCAGGGAAGAGGCTTTTCATGATTAGTTCTCTGCACACCCCGGCACCACCACTGTTGTACCACTGCTGTCTCTGCTCCCACACTGTATCCACACTGCTCTAGCAGTGCTCAGTTACACGCCTGCCCCCAGAAGGATCATATGTTTTTGATGCTTTTGCATCTGGTCTTGTCTTTACATAGAGCATTCTTTTCTTCATCCTTTCATCGACAGCTACTGACCCTTTAAAACAAGTGCAGATGCCTCCTCAGCTAGAAAGGACCCGCTGATCCTCCTAAGTTAGCCTGTCCTGTATGCTCTCTTGAGACTCTCTCTTGCCTCTCTCTTTATACATAGTGGTCAATTTTTATTGTATCTATTTACATTTCTGGATCCTTCCTAGGCTCTGAACTTTTCAAGGAGAGAGCTGTCTTTTATCTCTGTTTCCTCATATCTCAGTACAGTGCTTATCCTAGAGTATCAATAAATGCTTGTGGAAGAAAGCAACGGGAAAAGATAATGAACGGAAATAATGGTTGCGTGATTTTATATTCCAAGTAACATCAAAAAATTATGTAATGTATATAGTGGCATTTGAAATTCTTGAATATATTAATTATAAGAATGATTAATTTACTGTAGCAAAACCATAATATTCATAATTCCCCAGAGTCATATTTTCCTATATTTTTAAATTCAAAACTTAAAAAAAATTTTAGAGGCAGGGTCTCACTCTGTCACCCAGGCTGGGGTACAGTGCACAATCACAGCTGACGCATCTTGGAACTCGAACTCAAGTGATCCCCCTGCATCAGACTCTTGACTAGTAGGAACTACAGGTGTGTACCACTATTCCAGGCTAATCTTTTTATTTTTTGTAAGGACAGAGTCTTACTCTATTGCCCTAGACTAGAGTGCTATGGCATCAGCCAAGCTCATAGCAAATTCCAACTCCAGATTCAACCAACCCTCCTCCCTCAGCCTTGCAGGTAGATGGGGCCAGAGTTGCCCACCACAAAACCCAGCTACTTTTTCTATTTTTAGTAGAGATGGGATCTTGCTCTGGTTCAGGCTGGTCTCCAATTCCTGACCTCAATTGATCCTCTTATTTCAGCTTCCCAGAGTGCTGGGATTACAGGTGTGAGCCATTAAACTTGGCTAATTTTTCTATATTTTTTAAACTGAGATTGAGGGGAGGGCATACTCTTGCTTGGGCTTATCTCAAACTCTTGAACTCAAGTGATCCTTCCACTTCAGCCTCCCAGAGTGCTACTAGGATTACAGGTGTGAGCAACCACCCACAGTCATATGACCATCCCACAGTCATATTTTGAATGAAACTTACTTGTTTAGTAAGTTGGTTTATCTTGCATCTTGCATCCAGCTTCAGGATTGTCTTCTAACCTCACTAGAAAGGACCCATGGAGCGAGGCAACAGGATGGCTTGAAGGACCTCCAGCGTCTGAATAGCTGTGGACAGGGAAACTGGGTGGCACCCTTCCTTAGGTGACACAGCCTTCTATAGGACTTCTCACGTGTGCTATCAAGCTGCTTTCTGTTTCCTGTATAAACTATTACAAACTCTATTGTTGTACATCCTTTTACAATGTCTATTCTTCTTTTTGTCTAGAACAGGGGCCCTCAAACTTTTTAAACAGCGGGCCAGTTCACTGTCCCTAAGACTGTTGGGGGGCCAGACTGTGGGCCCCGGAACCAGTCAGCTGCTAAGCAGGACAGGCAGCAGCGGCAAAAACACCTGGCAGGCCAGGTAAATGTCCTCGCCAGGCCGCATGTGGCCTGCGGGCTGTAGTTTGAGGACACCTGGTCTAGAACACCTGCTACCTCAGACTCCTTGTTTAGCACTGTCTCTAAACAGTTAAAAAATATTTTCTGAAATTATATATACAGAGTCTGTAAGTGGATTAAGGCCCAATTCATATAAAAGCAACTCCAGAGCCAATTGATGACCATGAGACCATGAATTACCTATTATCATGAAGTATAGCACTCTGAGAATGTCTGTATGTAAATCTCACCAATAGAAAGAAAAGAAGGTGAAATGGTAGGGGAAGATCTGTTTTTTGTTTTGTAAATACTTTGATACGTTGTTAGGGTAGAATCTGAAGCCCTGTAGAATCATGAGGAGAAGATGAATTGTTCTGTGCCAGGAAAATGGAGATTTTTAACGGTTGTCCTGGAGAGAAAGAGAGAACGAAGAGAGGCATTTGGGAGGCATCAAGAGTGGCATGAGGTCAGTTTTGTGGTTTCTTTAGTTATGTTACCAAATACATGAAATATTAAGTGCAAGGCACCTTTTTGTTTAGGAAGAGGAGAAGGAACTAGGGAGATAATCTAGACTTCATGTCGAGAGTGATGCGGGGCAGCACACAAAGATGAGGGAAGCTTGGAAAAGTTAGCCACAGACTTGTTGAAATCAGCGGGAAGGCTTTCTGAGGGTCTTAAGTGTTAGAATTGGAGTTCCAACTCTATAGTCACTCCAGCTGGTAAACCAGGTAATCTCATCAGTCCCCAGGCTAAATTAAGAGGAATTGGACATTTTAGCTGATACAAGGAGATTTCAGCTCAGTTTTGACCACAGTGTAGTACAGGACAGGACAAACAGTCACAGAATGGATTAACTATGGTTGAAGACAATCCCCAATCAATTTATATAGCCTAATTATCCAGGCCTTATAAATATTAACTAACAGTGACTTTTGGCCTGCTTTTATTCTGTTACAATAAATTAAAAACTCATTGCTACTCTATTACAAAATCATTTTTAATCATCTTTTTGCATATGATGTCAACTAAGAGTCATAGAAGCAATTAAATTTTACAGTCTTTTCTCATAAATATTCACACGATGCCTATTCCCCTATAAATTATGCCTGTCTACCTTCCCCATCCCATGCCTAGTATTGTCACTAATATTCAGGTGAAGTTAGTATTGATATCATAAAGTTTGGATCAAATAACTTATTTTCTCCAGTTTTTTGATCACTAAGAAAAAATACCTTATAATTAATCCATAAGGCTAGACATTCAGCTTTTCAGATGACAAAAGTAACAAACAACCAGACCTATATGTTCTACATTTGGCACTGTAGCCCAGAGCTGTGTAATACAGAAAAATATTTCCTATAATTTGGAAGTAACTTTGGAGGATATAATTTTATTTTCTGGTTTTGGTTTAACTTCAGCGAGTCCAAATACTATGTAGTTTATTGAATCAGCATTTTATTTTTTATTTTTAATCTTTTTATAACATAGAATATCTCTGAATAATGAATGAATTTTAAGTTAGTCCAATCAAAGCATCAAACTAATACAGTATAAAAGTTCTCATTCTTAATCAAAGTCACACTCTAAAGGCTTTTTTAAAAGCATTACATAATTTATAATTTTAACACATCAAACATTAACTTCCTCAGGCTATCAAATATGAAAAACTCACAGGTTGACAGAAGTGAAGAAATTCAGGTCAAGAAATTTGTATGAAAAATCATCAGCTGGTTTGCAATATATCTTGGGTGTTCCTGACCTGTTTGGATAAAGAACCCAATGTACCTATGTGCAGAGAACATTTGAATTTCTGTAAGAGGTTTTCCCTAGAGTCAAGGCCATTTACTTCTTTGATTCTCTTTGATTTATACAGCACTTCTTACAATCACGAGCTTTAAAAAACTGTAATTGCTGTTAGCTGTGTCATTTAAATGCTTTTTCTCCGTACTCAGGTGGCTAACAGTTAATGGGATAAAAAAAAAAAATGCCCCCTCTTTCTGAGCACTGCATTAAACAGGGTGCCTCTGTGGTGAACAAAACCCTTTTGCTGTGTAAAAGAAAAGTTGATCACTACCTAGTGGCTTTTGAGGAGGTGGGGGGGTGGGTTTGAGGTTATTCTTAATTTGTGCCCTTAGGGACTTGAGAATTAATCTAGGAGGAAGGAAAGGTGGAGTCTGGCCGTGCAGTCATTTCTTCTCTTCCATGGAGGCCTGCTGCTCTCAAGGTTTTTGTCATCCGTGCACCTTCCCTCCTCTGAAATGTGTCTTCCTGCTGTTCTTCTGTTTCTCTCTTCTACAGGCTATGCTGTCTCATTTGTCAGCAGCTAAATGGATTTCATTATGCTCCTAGTTTCTGAATCAATTTAAGAACATGATTGTTGTATATCTCCTATTACAGCCAATGCTTTCAAAAGAGAATAGGAAATAGGGAAGAGAAATAAGCAAAGTTGACATTTTTCCTGCATGAGAATAAAAATCACCTTATGACCTGAAATCAAAAAAGCCTAGACTTGAAGACTAAGTTTTAATCAGTGCTGGCAGAAATACATCCAAGTATAAAAAGAACTTAGATGAACATATTTTTTATATCTCCTCAGTACCAGCGCTAGGGAATTTGAACTTCAAGTCTAGAATTCTTTGATTGTATCATTTAGTTCCTTTTAATCTGGCTAACTCCTAGCTGTTCTTCAGGTCTCTTTGCTTTTCACCATTAAGTGCTTCCTAGCAACCCATAGTTACCCATTTATCTGCAAGCATCAACTATGCTCAATTTTCATTTTAATTACTTTTCTTAACTTTACGTCTCATGAAATTTGAAAATTCTGGCTATCAGGACTATATTTTAAATACTTAGTGCTTAGTACATTAACTAATATGTGGTCAGCATAGTAAATATTTTCATCGAACAAATGAATGAGTACTGAAATTCCTGTGAGAAAAACAGAACTACGTGAGAAGTTTATTTCTTATAATCTTTTGGGAGAATATAATTAAGAAACATAAAATAATTATAGAGCATTTGGATCCAAGTTTCATTGCCTCTAGTGACTGAAATAGAGATGCCGTTTGTTTGTATATGTTTGTGTGTTTTTGCAAGTGCCAAAGGATTACAGATGCTAGTAATATGATTGGTTCAAATTATAGTAGTTAGAGGAATGTTTATGGGAAAAGTAAGGTTTGAGTTTAAAAACTGAAGAACGGAAAGGGTTTGGATGTAGAGTATATTTGGAAAAGTCTAATATATTACCATAGTCTACTGTATTGGATAGGGCTAAAAGGTTGGCAGGAACATAGAATCAAATCATTACTTTAACTGAAACAAATACCATGAAATAAATAAAGTAGGAATTTCATAAGAAAGGTTATTTGCTTGGATTATTGCAAATAAATCGCTACCCTGAAAAGTAAAAGTTATTGTTCACATTTATGAAAGAAAGAAAGGAAATTACATTTAATAGAGCTGCCCTGAAGAAAGTTGCATGCAAAGATTAAAAAATTAGTTCCACTTTAGAATATTGTACTGTGAACTTAGCCTCAAAGGATGCTTATTCTTTAAAATGTTCAGAAAGACAGTAAAATAAATAGACAACTTACAGAATGGGAGGTGATAGTCATAAACTATGTATGTGACAAAGGGCTAATATCTAGAATCCACAAAGAACACAAAAAACACCATCAGAAAGTGGACAAAAGACATAAACAGAAGTTTTTCAAAACAAGATAGATAAATGGCCAATAAACATGAAAAAATGCTCAACATCACTAGTCATCAGGGAAATATAAATTAAGACCACAATAAGAGATCACCTTACCCCGATTAAAATGGCTCTTATTAAAATGTCCAAACCCAGTAGATGTTGGCATGTATGCAGAGAGAAAGGAATCCTTACCCATGGTTGGTGGAACTACAAATTAGTACAGGCTCTGTGGAATAGTGTATGGATATTCCTCAAAGAAATAAAAGTAGACTTACCATTTGCTCTAGCACTCACTCTACAGGGTATGTACCCAAAGGAAAATAAGTCATTTTATCAAAAAGATACCTGCACTCTAATATTTATCACAGCACAATTCACAATTGCAGTGATATGGAATCCATATCAGTGCCCATCAATTCATGAGTGGATAAAGAAAACTGTGAGAGATATGTGTATGTGTATGCACACATGTACACATATATATACATACACATATACAAACACACGCACCACGAAGTACTGGTTAGCTATAAAAAGAAATTAAATAATGACTTTTGGAGCAATCTGCATGGAATTGGAGACTCAGGCACAGAGAGACCTAAAGGACATTGGAGGGATGGAAGGGAGATGAGTGATAAAAACTCACCTATTGGGTACAATGTACACTACTCAGGTGATGGGCACACTAAAAACCCTGACTTCAGCATTATACAATAACAAAAGCATTTGTGGCTCAGCGCCTGTGGCTCAAGTGGCTAAGGTGCCAGCCACATACACCTAAGGTGGCAGGTTCGAATCCAGCCTGGGCCCGCCAAACAATAATG